CACAAAGATGCAGGCCCAAAGAGAGAAAAGTCTAAGCAATGCAGTAATGTAGAGGGGGGGTCATTCTGAGGTCCCAGGCAGCAGCCCAGGGTTATGGGAAAAGGGAAGGGCCACTGAGTCTGGGCTAAGAAGGAATAGAAGCAGTAATTGAGAGAGGGCCAGAGGAAGGCCGGAGAGGTTGGTCGCTGACGCCAAATGCGAATGGCAGAGGCGAAGGCGTTAGACAGAGAGAAAAAAAAGAAAGGATATGAAGTTTAAAATGCCATAACAATGGTTATTACTGCCACCATTCCATCATATCCATCATTTTATCTTTATTTATGTTACATATTTAAGAGAATGAACTCACATCACTTGAAGCTTTCCTACTTAACCTTTAGCCAGACAGATAAAGAACACAAACAAGCTCAGAGCAGAGAATTGTATATTTTAATTAATTTATTGTCCCCTCTGCTGAAACTGTGTCATCACGCTGGAACCAAGCCCCTCTGAAGAGAAAGACCGACACAGAGAAGGCAAAACAAGCTATGACTGGACGGGACTGGATGTAGGAGAGAAAGTGAGAAAGAGTTAAGAGAGGTGAAAGCTTTGCCCTGTGCAGCTCTCCCTCTCTCTCTCTCCCTCTCTCTTTTTGATCCTCTCCCTGCAATAGCAGAATAGATTCCAGATGTCAAAATGATAAACAAACGGATTGTCATAACCTTATAAAAATGCAAGGCATTCAGAAGCACTCACACTGCTGTATAGTCTGTGGTCTGTCATGCTTGAACGAATTCAAAAGTTTGGAAACATCCCAAAAGTGAAATGATGAATTATTAGTTCTCTCTTCTCACTGAAAAACATCAACACACACATACGCACATGTACAAGTACACACAAACACCCACTCATGTCAACTCTTAAAGGGTTTGAATGTCAGAAGAAGCTGATGTATTTCATGGAGACTATCTTTGAACACATGCACTGTAGAATTGCTTCAAACAGGCAACTTTTAACATTTACTTTGTCCTGTTTCTTGGAGGTCCTGCTGTGATGCCATCAGCTGAGAATGCGAGTGAATTCTGCTTTCTAGTTCATTGTTTGGTCCAGGAAGTCTAAGGCTAACAACAGCATGCTGCAAGTCTGCCAGCTCCTTGTGAGTGGGACCATAAGTTATTCATTTAAAACAGTGACAGAGCACATGGATGAACATAAGCATGTAAATATGCCAGATTATAGTCATAAACTAATATCTACGTATATCTGTAGCCCCCTGGCAAATTGGTGGTACACACAAAATCACATGTAAATATACTGTAGAGATACACACTGTACATTTCATGTCCATTAAAAACACAACAGCTCTTTACTGTGACTTATTAACACGCCGATTTTTCACCCTTTTCAGTTGCAATTTACTTGTTGAAACGGTGGCCTTCCGCTCCACCTGGCTTTCATTTGCCACCTGTGACCATGTAATACGTTGGATTTGCTGCTACCACAACTAGCTTGCTGTGTTCAGTCTTGCTTTACCCTAAAGTTACCCCTGCTCTTACTGAACCACTCAGGGACCAATCACTGCTGCATCAGCATTCCTTTTTCTAAATCCGAATGGTTGCTCCTACTACGCTCTGATATTAGATGATAATGTCAACCTCTAGCCAACATGTTCCCCGCCACCTGCACTGAGAGTTTCTAAAATCACAGTAGTGAGTGATGTTCTTATGGCCAAATACTTGAATGTGTGAATATATTAGAATATATCCGAAATCTGCCCTGAACTGAAAAATTATTTCCCCTTGATTTTCCATCCACACACATTAATATTGTGAGAGCTCTGAAAAAAAACCTAATAAGAAGTAATTGTCTAATGAAACCTACATTGACGTTACCTCCTCATGTGTTTTCAGTCACACTCCTTGTGATGCCATAACAGTGGCTATAGCCTACAGCATTTCTCCATACATTATCTGGAAACATGTGTGCAAAGCTTTCTCAAAAAAAAAGCAAGAAGGAGCATGGATGGTTTCATTATCACAGTGATGACAGATGGCAATAAATAAGTTCAGATTGTGATAAGACAACTGAGATGGATAAATAGTTACCTGGCTATAGCCCACATAAAGAATGAGGTCGTTTTGGTTGATCTTGTCTTTCCTAAAAAGATGGTGCAAAGTATGCAAAGCAAAATGTTCAGAGATGTTTTAACAACACGCACTTTTAGTTGTAATGTACAACTGCCTGCCCCTTGCTTGCCCCTCTGTCATCAGATGCTGAATAAAGAGAGGGAGGGAATTTCAATCCCAAATGCCTTTGATGTGCTTTGAAGTATTACGACATACAACTGTGTGTGGGTGGGTGGGTGGGTGGGTGCGTGTGTTTGTGTGGGCATGTGTAATGTGTTCTCACATGTGGATATGTGTCCCCTTGCCAGAGCACACTATGATTGTGTCTGAATGGATAAACCCTCCAGCTGTCACATAGCATATGGATTCTGTGTTGATTGACGTGTGAGTGTGAGTGTGTGCGTGTTGTTCATGTGTCTATGTCTTCCTGTGTGTGGGGAAAACCCACCTAGGCCTCTGGCTTTGTGTGCCAACTACACAGGAAGTGGGACAGTGAAACATCATATCCAATCTTCAACCATACTATTTGTGACACCTTCGTGACACACCTTTTTTTTTCTCTCTTCGCATCTCTTCTCATCTCGACCTCTCACTATCTCTTCTCGCATCCTCGTCGTTTTTCTCATGTGACTTTCCCAGGCATGGTGTGGGCAGTGGCAGTAGTGGTGGCAGTGATGTCCAAGTCTTTCCCATGCAGCCTCATAGGAGGGTCTTTGTTTCCCCCTCCAGGCTTTGGGGGTCCCCACGGCAGGGCTGTGCCCCACTCCACTGACTCCACAATGGGTCTTTATGCTGCCAAGGCCCTCCCTCCCCCACATCACTCCATCATGCTTCCCTCGTCAGGGGCACAGAGAGGCACAGGGGGCACAACGGCAACGAAACGCCAAGCCTTTTCATGCCCTGTCCTAAACTTCTCTCTCTCTCTCTCCTGTACATGCCAGCAGAGTCAGATATAGTGAGAGAGGTGCCAAAGTGTAAGTGGCATACTACTTTCTTATTCCACCAAGAAAAATTGACCCCATGTCACACATGATAGGATTGTGTGATAACACACTGTTACAATCTATAAGCACTTAAAAAAAAAAAGTGCCCTTTTAAATAAAAGTTACACGCACTAAACTCCATACTCAAACACACAGAAAAGACAGAAACAGAGAATCTTAACAATATTACAAATGTTTTGTTTTTGGCCCTGAATGGTTGCCCCACCCTGTGTACTTGCTTATATGCACCAGATCATGCCTCTAGCACGCACAAATTGGCTCCCTACTGTACTTTGTGGGCTGACATGCTGTCTCAAGCCCTGATGAATGGGTGGTCTGCTCAAAATGTCTCAGGGACTGGCAGATCCTCAGTAGTTGGGAAGGGAATGAAAGGACTGGGCAATGGCATAAGGATGAGGAAATAATAAGAAGAGAAGACAACGTTAAGAGAAAAGTGAGATCTGAACTGAGCTAATGAAGCGATTTGAAAGCTACATGTTTATAAGCAAACTACAGCCTCTTTGATTCATGAAAATCTCAGAGAAAACACTTTTGTAAACCCCTTAGGGCAGTAAAAAAAAAAAGGTCTTTTCAACCAAGAGACATCTGTTCACATGTGTAATGTCTTCCCATGTACTCACTTACAGCATAATGTATGACTTAATCTGACAAAATGAACAAGAGCCAAAGACTTTTGACAAGCACTTGGGTTGGATCACGGGGAAATGGCATCCCTAGACTGCTGTTTTCCTCTGTCAAGGCCAATACTGGCAATGCCAAGAGCTGAGGTTGCCATGGTAATGGCAGTCAGTTTAGGGCCACCGCAGAAGACTGAGAGCATAACCTTGTCATAATTGTGGACTGAGTTGTGAGAGCATTTCTAGCAGGGGGAATTAGTTACAGAGCCACATTGACTCAGTGATCTGTATTCTCGGTTCTTCTCATGCAGATTAAAAACACAACCAAACATATATATATATATATATATATATATACAAGCAGTAATAACTTCAGTCTCTGAGAGATGCACGTAAAAGCATGAGCAGATAAAGTATTCCAGGGCCAAGCCTATAAATCTGCATGCCTTAAAAACCTCATATATATATAAGACATAGTGGAGTGATAAAGAGAGAGAAACGCACAGAAAGGAGCTCATGAGATGAGTCAAAGACAAAGGAGAAGAGAGTTTAGCAACTATTTGTTCTGCCTGCTTTCACTCAATCTAGAGGTGGTTTTAATGACTTCCTTATTTCCCCACTGATTAACAACAGCCAGCCTCACTGACTCAAACATTCTCGTACACAAACACACAAACAAATGCACCGGAGCTGACTTAATTCACCTCAAATCCAAAACGAATTCAAAACCCAAACGTCTCAAAGCAAGAGCTACAGTTAATTAATCTGTGGTGAACTGAACGACCTGTTTTAATGGGAGGCATGCAAGCCAGCAGTTCACCGTCATTTTGAGACATTTTAAGTTTTCATCTCCAAGCTCATTGCTGCCAAAAAAATGTGTTTATGCAACTATTGGCCGTGGCAAAGAAGTGTTTCATGATACCAAGCGTTGCCTAATCATGACGAACAATCTGCACTCACCACAGGTCAAGTGGAATACCAAATTAATCAATGTTTGGTGCTCTTACTTCATCAGAAAGGAACAGATTTTAGCTGTATTAGTCATCAGGAGGTTAGCCACAGGAGGTGATAATGAAACTCTTCTATCTTGAAGCACCAAAAAATGTTCTCTTTTCTTAGCAGCGGAATCAAAATCTCATTTGATTTCAAGCCTTTTTCTTTTTCTTTGTTTCTGTAATTTATTGTCCATAGATTAAAGAGGAATGAATGTCTAAGCTCTGTTTGTCAAGCCAACATCTGAGGCCCTTTTAAAGTTAAACGTGAATGTCTCTTACCTCTCCACCACGTCATCTCCACTCCAGCACGTGGAGTCGTCCACTACGTTCTCCCCTTCGCACAGCATCTCTGGTAATGCTGCAAAGAATGACCTGTAGCGCTGCAGGTACATCAAGAACTCCCTAAGTAAAGGCAGAAACACGGGGAATGGGAATAAAGCCATTTAATAACATATTTAAAAATCGTTCTAAATCAAAAGCAATGTTGGGAAAACAGACAATAGAGGAATGCATTGAGTAATAGGGACCACATTTTCAGTGTGTTTGGTTGACACATATGTATCTTGTCACTTAGTTTCCAAAGCAAGAAATGATTGGCTTTGAATGTGACCACTTCACTTAGTCAGCAAATTTGTTTCAATAATGTTCTTCTGACATATCATAGATAAAGACACTGTCATCAGTCACACGTTGTTTAACCACCCATGAGGCAGAGTGAAAAACAGCGGGTGTCATGACAGGTTTTTCATGGTTTGTTTGACATCATAAAATGCATCACTCATCCAAAAAAACAAAACAAATTTGATGTACAGTAAATGAAATGTCACAAGTATCTAAAAGAGCCCCAATATGAGCAGTCATTGCTCTATAAAGTGTGTGACACACACTGTCAGAAATAAGACACATGGGTTCATGCTTACCTAGAGAGGGTTCTCAGATTATGTTTATTGTTCTTGGAAGGTTTCAGGGGGAACGAGCTGGGAATGATGGGAGTTGGAGTCCAGGGGAAGATTGTTGCAAGCAAGGAGGATGCAAGGATGTGACAAGGTGGGGTGAGAAAAAAAACACAAGAAACAGAAGGATGACAAGACAAGACACAAGGGGAGGAGGGAAAAAAGACAGTCAGTTGACCCTGGAAGAGAGTGATTATTCATGCACATGCAGAGACCGGGCCACACCACACCAAAGTCAATAATGTCTTGCCCCCACACCACCCCAACAAATAAAACAGAAACGTGTATGTAATGTAGAAGTTAAGTCAGGACACAAACACGGGCAAACATCTGAACATGTGCAAATATTCACAGGAAAGCCAAGGACATTTCCGCTGAATTCTCAATTCATATTTTTTCCCGTTAAAATGAAACATAAATGTTGCTTTACTCTATCATATTTCAAATTTTCAGCAGTCTCCCTTTACTGCAGCGGGTGCTGCCATGTCTCTGAAGTGGTCAGTGCTCACATGTGCTTTGGTCAGGGTTGGCAGTAGGAAGGGAACTGGATTGTGCAGCCATGAATGGCGGTGGCATTGCCAGGCAAGGCCTGTCAGCTAGGCTGGCATGGGTGCAGTGATTCATGGTTTAGAACAAGGTCAGGCAGGCAACACTGCAAGTGTGTGTGTGTGTGTGTGTGTGTGTGTGTGTGTGTGTGTGTGTGTGTGTGTGTGTGTGTGTGTGTGTTTCTGTGTGATGCTATTTAAACTTAGGCCGGCTGGTGTGCAGAGTTGGTGGTATGGCTGTCTGGGTAAACAGGAAATTGTTGGTCCGTCAAGATTAATCTTCCCCGCACTCCCCTTCTCCTGGCACACCACTGCCAGCTGCTGTGGGCATGGGATGGCTGCCTCAGAGGCCAGGTGGAGGACATAGATTTTAATGCCAGGCACTACATTTACTGTACTATGTGTGTGTGTGTGTGTGTGCGTGTGTGTGTGTGTGCGTGTGTGTGTGTGTGTGTGTGTGTGTGTGTGTGTGTGTGTGTGTGTGTGTGTGTGTAAGTGTGTATTGTTACCATATGAAGTAAGAGGGAAGTGATGGCAGCTGTGAATAGACACAAGCTCACTGCTTTGACTCTTTATGTGACCTAGACCTGACCAGTTTTTATCTAAATTGATTTAATCGCTCTAATTACTTGACAAAAGCACAAGTTAATTCTTATATAAACAGTTAGCTGTGGTTTTGCATTGTCTTACCTCCTCAAGTGGGCTAACTGACCCAGCCACTGCTCTGGCAGAGGCTGGGAGGGGGCAGCAGATGGAAGAGGAGAAGATGAGGTCACAGTGGAGGTTGTGACCTCTGGGTTTGTAGTTTGCGTGCCTGTGGGTTCCCCAGTCGACAGGCCACACACCTTGTCCACCTGTGGAGAGGATAGAACAAACACACACCTGTTAGGCTAGGAAAATATATATAAAAGCATGGGCGGAGCTGCAGGATGACTTCCATTAACCACCGATTGACGCCTGCACAGTTGAAAGCCTATAAATGCAAATAAATGATTCAAAGTAAGATGAACTGCTTTTTTTTCCAGAGTGATGCCACCACTTTGGAATGAAGAATGTCGAACATTTTGGGTGATTGACTGCAAGATGAAGAGAGATGAAAAGATTTATGGGACAGAGAACTTCTGAGTTACGGACAACATGGGAACATGAAGGGCGCTGAGTGAGGGATGTGATGAAAGAAAATGGTGCGATTAGTGAGTTATTGCCAGGAGGGCTGACAGTAAATGTAAAACATTCCACTACCTCATGGAGGTGAATGCACGTGCTCTCAGTTGGCAGAGCAGGCGAGTATCTCCATTGGGCTATTAAAGCCAGCAGTGGAAAGGAGAAGACAGCCGGGTCATGAAAATGACGGGGCGTGCGCTTCAAACCGAGAGGTAAAATCAATGACATCTCATTGGCTTAAAAGCCTCAGGCCAGTGTTATTAAGTGGTCCTCAATTAACCGGAGAGACAGAATGTAATGGCTCTTGCACGCCGGACTGAGTAGCTCTTTAAAGTGATCAATGCATATTCACTGCTTTGTCTAAAGGGATGAGTCATTGCACTGTATGAGGACGTCCAACTGCAACATTAAGTGGTGCTAATCATTCATCTGTGTTTTGTAAAGAGGGCATAACTGTAAGTTACAGCAAGACAAAGGTTTTCTTCTAATTCATGTTGATGTTTTTATAACTGCAGTAAGGAACACTTAAGACTTAATATGAAAAAGTCCCATTTTAAATTATTTTTGAAATGTACACTGTGGGGAGATTTGACGAGTCACACACGTGGAATAAAATAACAGCAAATGATTAGAAAGTTGTAGTTGGTAGGAATCTATTCAACCATACAGTAATCATCTGTGATACTTAAACATCAACATTTGCAACTTTCCTCAAACAGTTTGACTAGAAAAAAATCATTAAAATGCCAGTGTTTCCAAGTGTGCAGACAATGGAATGCACAAACAAATACGAAAAGTTTATTTGGGAAGGAACTGGCAAGCATCTATGTTTAAATGGTTGGTGGAAGGGGTGTGCCCGCATGCTGGGAAGAGTTTGGATAAGTATGTTGGGAAACAGCTGAAATATGTGTTAATGGTGACAAAAAGTGTCTCCAAGTGTGCTAAAAATACACTTTCCCTCCAGGGCGAGGCAGATCCGTCAACTCCTCTGCCTTATAAATGGACGTTTTTACATAACAGCCTGCTGTTCTCGAGCAGAGGGGATTGTCAGTGAGCGTAACTTAGTACCTGGATATTTTTCATCTGCATTGCACTGTTTGCGCTTCGCTCTGGCTCTTCTCTTCTACTTTAGCTTAACTACATTCTGGTCTTAAATCCTGTCCTAAGACTGGCGCTGGGCACGGGGATGGTTGTTTTATTGCATTAACCTAAGCTCCCTCTGGACCAATAAAACATGCTCACATGTGGTAGTGCGGCTCACTGCCACACATGGACATGGACAAAACACACACAGACACACACGCGCACGCGCACACACACGCGCACACGCACACACACACACACACACACACACACACACACACACACACACACACACACTCACTCACTCACTACATTGTGATGGTGAGAAAAGATAGAACATAGCAACTGTTTTGGCCATGAAGTTTATCAACTCATAGAGCCAAATGCTCTTTGCTTGTGTTGTAATGCTTCTACAGACAAGGTTGAATTAATTTGCATACCGTCTGCACAACATGATGTATCAGGACATTTATGAGACACTTGAAATTAAAACCTTTTAAAAAGGTTGGTTCATGTGAACAAGTTTGCCAGATTTGTCAGAGTAGGGCTGTTCAAAAACACGGAAATTATTACATTTTCAGTTTAGTTCATATTTTACTGATTATCTCTCGACTTTGATTATTGCTCAGTCAAGCGTTATGAACACTTGCATGTAAACTACTGTTTGTAGCAACTGATAAAATTACTCAGTAAAACATTGTTAATTCCAAGAGGCAGAAAAGCTATAAATGTCCGGGCTGATTCATTTTATGTCACCCACACTTGCTTAAATTTGTTAATTAACAAATTGTAAAATTGTTCAAGCACTTATATATCGCCAATAAAGCGCAAAAGGTTTTAGTGAACTCAATGCTTCTATCTCAGCAAAAAAAAACTAAAATTTTATTAGATCAACTCAATTACATAATTTCCAGACTATAGTGTTCGGAGGTCTGCAGGTCTGTGTGTTTGTATGAAGGTGGTGAAGCTGTGAATGGGACAGGTGGTGCAAAAAGCAGATCAGAACTGAGACCTGAAGACAAACAAACAATAGTTACTGCTTTTGTGACAGAAATGGTCATTGCATAATGTCTCGACTTAATGGTCAAGGGTCTTCTCCATTGCCGCTCCCACCCTCTGGAACTTACTCCCAAAAAACATCAGAGACCCCTCATCACTCTCCACCTTCTAGAAGTCCCTAAAAACTCACCTCTTCAACTTCGCTTACAACCACTAAAAAAACTCTCTTTTAATGCTCCTTCTCTTAGACTATTTCTTCATTGTATGTTTTTCACTCTTTTGTTGTTATTCTTTGTTAAGCATCTTTGAGTACTCAGAAGAGCGCTTTAAAAGTCTAATGTATTATTATTACATAGCTCATAACATAGCTCATTCATTGAAGACATTTCAAGAGACTGAATGCAATTACTTAAATTCAGCACATGAAAAACAACCAAAAAAGGTGCTTGTTATTGTTTCTCTGCAGGGGTGATAAATGGAGGATTAAGACAGTATCTAATCGTGTCATTGTGAACTTTCCAAAGCGGACGACAAATGTTTTAAACCCAGTGCCATTTCTCACTTGCCTTTGTATGACACTTTGTTATTCTCTGAGACCAAAAAAATGTAAACATCCTTTTAAAATATGAGCATCAAGAAGAGGTCACTCACAGTTCTGTTTGCTTTATCCCGTTATTTTTACAACCACATAAAAATACAACACTTTTCAAAGAGATAGGAGAAAAGGCCGCAGCGCAAAACAAAAACACTGAAAGAGATTCCTCTTATGCCTAACTAAACACAATTTTGTAAACAGAACACAAAGTGTAGCATGGGAAAAATAAACAATATCCTTTCAATGGATCCTCCTAAGAAATTGAGACATGTTCTTATAAGCTAGACATTCGAGCACATAAGCCTAAAGGCCAATCAGACGACAGGTTGAATAACGACAAGGGCTTGAACGGGGCCGTAGATCAATTATCTCCTGACCTGATGATGGCGTGGAATGAAAACCCCATTTGGCCGCAGCATGAGAAATGAGTTCTCTATGTTTATGTGTGTGTGTGAGCACCTGTTCGTCCTTGTTATACCTTCACAATTTCAGCTATTTTGTGGAGCATTCCTCATGTGATTGCCTGAGGACAGAGACTGATGGACAGGGCAGATTGGTGGGATGCATGTCGTACACATGGGAAGTCTTTGGGGAAATACCAGGCATGTAGTCTATGTGCACTTGAGCTAGCCAATGAAATTTGATTTCCACTGCTGAAGGCTGCGGACTGATGAGTATTTTTTTAAGAACTTTACACATGACTTTAACATCTAGTATGTTGTGCAGAGACATTAGACCTTAAATGTATTTCACTTAAATTGCATGCCCATGTGTTTGTTTCTCTGCCTCGTGAACATATCATCCAGAGGAAAGAAGAGAGTGTAAGAAGAGTGCAGCAGGAGAGTCAGCTCCAAGCAGGCCAAGCCCAGGGCCATCCCTCCTCTCGGGGAGTATTGGCTTACAGATAGCAGCGGTGGTCTTGTCTTCCCAGTTTATTTATCATGGGATTACCCAGAAAAGCCAAGGGAACTTTCTCAGCCCCTTCTCAACCCACACACACTGCATTATGGGATAAGGAGGGCTTGATCAGTCAGTGGTCAGTGAAGGCCCCCCTCTTTTAATTTTCCAGTTTGTGTGCGGAATGATCATACACACACACGCACACACACACACACACACACACACACACACACACACACACACACACACACACACACACACACACACACACACACACACACACACACACACACAGTCTGGTGACAGAATGCTACTGACTGTTTCACTCAAGGAACAATAAAGGATTTGTCTGCTCTGCCAAAGAGAACACAGCTAAATGCAGTACAAGTACACAAGTACACAAATATATCTACTTCCAAGGTCATTGAAATTACTCAAATAAGAGTTAAGTACTGATACTGTGTTATACTAACTCCATGAACTTAGCTAAATCAACTTCTACTTTCCAGCCAAGCTTCAGTGGTTGTATCAATTTAGTTATGAATCATAGTGCTAAATAGCCTCAATGGAACATCAACTCATAAAACTACAAAGCGACTATTATGTGCCATTAGTTTGACTATTTGTAATTAGTCACAGGAGTTAATTCAATGTTTTATGCTGGGTCATTGGTGTACATATCTGTAAGGGTGCAGGGGAACTGTATATGCAAATGTTATGAGTTCACTTTGGAAAGCAGTTTCAAAACTGTCTCTGTTTTCACTCTTCTCCCTGAAAGGAGCTCTTGGGACTGCAAGCTTACATCCGTTATCCAAACCACAGTCACTGTCATTCCAAGATATTGGACACTCACATAACCATGAAACCTTTTAAAACCAGCAAAAATTAGAAAATTCAATTACCTTCCTGTAAGTGTAAGTAAAACATAGCTGCTCTCAAAGACAGTAACAGTTGCTCGCCTTCTATTTGAGTTTGGATCAAGATGCGTAGTTTAAGTCAAAGAAGAGATGAAGAAGAAAAAACAGAAGCGCCTGTTTCATACAGTGCTGGACTACGTCTAGAAATATGAGACTAATACCAGACAGCAGAAAAATACAGCAAATGAGAGCAAAG